GCAACTCAGTGCATTTAGGCATGTAGACATGGTCAAGACAATCTCCTGCAGTTCAAACCGAGCATCAGTATGGGGAAGAAAGGTGATTTGAGTGGCTTTGAACGTGGCATGGTTGTTGGTGCCAGAAGGGCTGGTCTGAGTATTTCAGGAACTGCTGATCTACTGGGATTTTCATGCACAACCATCTCTAGGGTTTACAGAGAATGGTCCGAAAAAGAAAAAATATCCAGTGAGCGGCAGTTCTGTGGGCGGAAATGCCTTGTTGATGCCAGAGGTCAGAGGAGAATGGCCAGACTGGTTTGAGCTGATAGAAAGGCAACAGTGACTCAAATAACCACCCGTTACAACCAAGGCAGGCAGAAGAGCATCTCTGAACGCACAGTACGGCGAACATTGAGGCAGATGGGCTACAGCAGCAGAAGACCATGCCGGGTGCCACTCCTTTCAGCTAAGAACAGGAAACTGAGGCTACAATTTGCACAAGCTCATCGAAATTGGACAATAGAAGATTGTAGAAAGGGTTCTGTCAGTCGTCATCTGTACTTGTGGGTAAAAAACAAAAAACAAAAAACAAAACAAAAAAAAAACAAAAAAGGACGTTTCGCTTCTCTCACAGAAGCTTCGTCAGCGGTAGACAACCCTGAAGTCTCCGTGAAGACTCCGGGAAGTTGCTCTGCGCTAAAAGGCTGAGCGTGGCCTGTTTGAGGACTGGGTGGGGATGGTTAGTCACGCCCCTATGGTGAAGAGGCCCATTGGTTTCTAAACTCCCTATCATTGACTGAGAGCCTCCACAAGCATTTGGGCTAAGGCTGAATAGCTACTTTCAGTTAGCCTGATCAGCATGTCTATGTCCCTTACTGGTCAACAAGTTATTGTAAATAGGAGACAGGTTAAATCTGATACCTCCTTCACGGTTCAGAGAGGGTGAAAATTTTTTAACAAAAATCGCTTCCTTTACTCCCCTTTCAAACCATCTCTTTTCTGTTCCTAGGATTTTTACTTGTTCATC